AGAGAGAGAGAAAGAAAGAAAGAAAGAAAGAAAGAAAGAAAGAAAGAAAGAAAGAAAGAAAGAAAGAAAGAAAGAAAGAAAGAAAGAAAGAAAGCATATGAACTAAAGGGTCACATGTACATAGATTCATTTAATATCATCAAAGATTAGATTATCAGCTGGTCACAGATTCTTCCTGGACCCTGAAAGGGCTTTCAAGGGGCTGGACTCCCATAGTCCCTGTTACAGACACACGTACAAAGACACACAGAAACACACAAACACACAAACACACACACATTACACAGACACACATAGGTACACACACAGACACAGAAGCACACACACCATGAAGACACACACAAGACACATATACACAGACACACAAACACACACACAGACATGGACACACACACTCAACACACAAAAACACAGATACAAACACACAGAAACACACAGGCACACACAAAGACACACACTCACACAGAAACACACAAGTACATATATAACACAGAAACATATAAGCACAGACACAGAAACACACACACCATGAAGACACACAACACACATACTCAGACACACACAGACACACACACACATGACACAGACACACACAAGCACACACACAGACAAACACAGTCCCATACACAGACATCAGACACACACAGGCACTCACAGAGAAACATACACACACCACACAGACACAGACAAACACACAGCACACATACACAGACACACAGAGACACAGACAAACACACAGCACACGGACACAGGCACACAGAGACACACACACACTCACTTACCAACAGACACATAGACATGTATTTACCCACCCCAAGTTCCCTCATGCTGCCCCCCACAGCCCAGGGACATAGCGAGGTCCCTCTCCCTGCCCAGCACTCACCTGCACAGGTGCCCAACAACTCCTCCAGGAGCAGGCACTTTAGTGACAGCTGGACTAGGGCTCTGGGTTCCAAGGACAACATCGTCTTCATCTGCCTTCATGAATTATCTGAGTTCTCTGCAGATTCAAAGCCAGACACGCTTCTCTTGTAGGTCCACCCAGCCCAGGATGCCAAGAACTGAAGTGCATCACAGAGGGTGGAGTAGAATTGTCAACAGATGAACAGCTGGCTTTGTGGGAGATGAGCTAGTCTAGGAAGGTGAGAGTCACTGATAGAGTGAGAATGCTTGGGGTCAGGCAGCCCTGACTCAAATCCTGTATTCCTCTCCCTGGAAGCATTACAGCTTTCCTTTACAGCTATCCCCACTGCATCTCTGCAACAAGCAGAAAGGTTTCTTCTTGATGTTTTGTTTTGTTTGTTTTCTTTGCTTTCTTCAAGACAGGGTTCTCTGTGTAGCTTTGGAGCCTGTCCTGGATCTTGCTCTATAGACCAGGCTGGCCTTGAACTCACAGAGATCTGCCTGGCTCTGTCACCCGAATACAGGGACTAAAGGTGTGCACCACCACCTCACGCTCTTCTTGATGTTTTAATCAGGAGTCTGGAATACATATAAACCCCTCATGCACCAGAAACCTTGTTTCATTATCTATTCCCCATATCAAGATTCCATAGACATGCTTACACAGGACTCAGGCAATTTATGCTTGGAATTCCCCTTCTGCAACGACAAAAACAAATAATGTAAGCTCCTTGGTAATGACTTGTTGAGAATTAATAAAGCCATGAAAGACGGGAAATTTTGAAACAATTTAGGTACCTATTGTTTGACCTTTGGGTTAGCTATGCTGCTGTCTGGATTGGGCTCAGCCCCTGGGACTGAGCTCACCACCCACTGCTGCTGAGCAGAATCTGCCCAGCCTGGACTTGAGTACTTTTAAAGCAGAACAGTAAAATTAAAAATGTATTTTATATTCACACACACACACACACACACACACACACACACACACACGAGAGAGAGACACTAGGTAGTTCATATAATTTCTCACTAGTTTAGAAACTCAGGGAGTAAGGGTGGTGCTGCACACATTTAATACCAGAATTTTTTAATAAGCGAATTTATTTATTTATTTATTATGTATTTATGTGTCATTTATTTTACTTCCCTGGCACACCCATCTCCTAGGGAAACAGAGAAAGTTGTGAAGCCAGCACAGCTGCTTGACAAAGCTCCAGCAAAGCTGAGCCACACACTATGATTGATAGTTGACCTGAGGCCCTTTTGATTGGAATCTCTGTGTGTTACACTCTTGGTAGGCTATTACGGTAATGATGTCTTTTCTGGGGAAATTGTTTCTGTATCTTCCTGAAGAAGTCTTGAATGACTACCCCTTTGCTTCCAGGGAAGTAACCTTAGTTGATCACACTTGGGAGTCTTCTCTGTGCCTTGGAGATTGGTATCTGCTCTTATGCAAACTCAAGAACAAAACAGAACCACATAAATTCAGAGGAGGCTGACAAGGTTGAGAAGAATAGGAGAATTGACACTGGGTCAGTGTAGCTGGACTTTCTCCGGTCCTTCCATGCCCAGCAGACGAATCTCTCCCACCCAAGGTCCCACAGCTGCCTATAAAATAATTATTCAGAAGCTTATATTAATTACAAATTACTGGATGGCCTATGGCTTCAGCTTCTTGCTAGCTAGCTCTTTCATCTTAAATTAAACCATTTCTTTTTTTCTTAAGAAATTTTTTTATTCATTTTACATACCAATCACAGACACACACACCCCTCTTCCCTCCTCCTGCCCCTCCAGCCTTCCTTCCCTCCCATATGTGCAAGTGCCCTGCTGTGTCCAAAAAAAGACTGTTCCCTTATAGTTATCCACTGGCTCTGGGATCTTTCATCCCTTAGTCCATAATTTGGGTAAATGAGAAAGGAGTGGTGGATCTAGGAGGAGTTAGGTGAGTGAATTAATGTGACTATCATACATTTTTATAGTTAAAAATGAGACAGAGAGAGAAAAGAAGAAAAAGCTCCATATAAACCTACAATCTTGTAAACAACCTTAAAAGTTGGGAGGGAGGCACCCTGCATGGCTGGCCAAAGCTCTCCTGGAAGTGATGGGTTATAGAGCAAAACTCCAGGGCCAGGAGTAGGATTGCTCGTGACTGGTTGGTCAGGGAGCCCCTATGGACTCAAGAAACAACGCAGGCTCTTGTCCTTGCTCTTGGTTCCCCAAAGAACTAGGTGATAACACTTGGTTGCCAAAGGCACCACACATCACAGTCACACGACACAGAGCTATGGAGCTGGAGCTGTGTTTGAAGCCTCCTTCCTGCCTGGTAGCTTTCATAGTGCCAGAAGATGCCATGCAGGCTGTTGGGGGGTGGGTGGGGAAAGTCTTACCCAGCTGTGAATCCAACTATGATATCAACCTGCCAGGAAAGATGTTCAATAGTGGCACAGATGGTATGTGGGTAACCAACATGCTCTCTGATTGGGTTGGAGGTCCATTCCACATGAGGGATTCCATATGTGGTACCATAAAACCACTCAAAATCCCATGGCATGGAAGGTCATAGGGCCTGGGGGTGTGGTGTGTGTGTGTGCATGCTAACTTCTGTCATTATTCAAATTTTCAAAGCATTGGACTACTTTCTAAATAAGAATGTTTATACTCACAGACAGTAAAGACTCTCCTTGGCTGTAATCACTGAGTCTTCTCTTCAGTTGAACTGCATTGAAGGAAGAGAAGAATGAGCAGCACAAGGTGCTGAGAACAGCGATTGTTTAGTGCTCAGCACTGGATTAGACACTTTTGTGTCTTCTCCTAGGTTCAGGGAACATTGCCGAAGAGGGAAAGATTGTAAGAGCTGGAAGATGGGGAGACGCACTGCAAAACGCCATCTTCTGTGCAAGACACAGTCACTGCAAGCAGGAACTTACAACTCTGGATAACTACGCTGGGTCTGCCCAAGAATGGGCCCATCAGCAGCAGGGAAAGATGAAGGAGGGATTTAGGGGGGGTTCTGAAAATGGAACAATTACATGAGAGGATTAATGTTGATGGCATGTATGTAACATCAATTATGCATATTATTTGTTTACTTATCAATATTTTACAAGTTAAAAAGATAATCCATTTAATTGCCAAGATAAAAGTTTTAGAAAAACTTGTTAAAATAAATTATAGAGAAATTCAGACTCAGACAGAAGAATTTAAGGGTGAAATTATTTCAGGATTGGATTATAAGGTTACAGAAAGACAGCCTGTTTTCAAACAATCACCCTTAATTTAGCTGGTAACCATACAGCAACTATCTGATCAAGGACGTGCATGAACTAATTGGACTACAGTTGAAATGTTATATTTAAGGAAGTTTGAGGAGGCTATAATATCTTATGGCACACATTTTCCCTTTGTAAAGCAGATGTTAAACTCCTGGTCAACTTGTAATAGGATTATTCCTCAAGACTGGAAAGAATTAGTAAGGGCTGTCCTGGAACCAGGAGCATAACTGCAGTGGCACATGTGGTACAGAGATGAGGCTAAGACCACAGAAAGCCAATGGAGAGGTAGAGGTGTGGGAATTTCCCAGGATCAGCTTCTTAGAAAAGGCCAATATGCTGAAATACAAAGACAATGTTTATATGATAACCAAACCTTAATTCTAGGACACATAACAGGCATGAATGCATGGCACAGAATTGAGGAAGCAGGAAAGCAAATTGAACTTGTACAACCACTTTGGAAATCAATATGACACTTTCTTAGAAAATTGGGAATCAATCTCCCTCAAGACCCAGCTACAACACTCTTGGGCATATACCCAAGGAATGCTCAATCATACCACAAGGGCACTTGCTCAGCTATGTTCATAGTAGCCATATTTGTAAAAACCAGAACCTGGAAACAACCTAGATGCCCATCAACTGAAGAAAGGATAAAATGTGGTATATATACACAATAGAGTACTATTCAGCAGAGAAAAACAATGACATCATGAGGTTTGCAGGCAAATGGATAGAACTAGAAAATATCATCCTGAGTGAGGTAACCCAGACTCAGAAAGAAAAACATGGTAAGTACTCACTTATAAGTGGATACTAGATGTAAAGCAAAGGATAACCAGACTGCAACTCACAACTCCAGGGAGGCTACCTAATAAAGAGGACCCTAAAAAAGACACAGGGATTGCCCAACCACAGAGAAATGGATGAGATCTACTTGAGCAAACTGGGGATTGGGGGATAATGGAGGGCAAGGGCCAAGAGAAAGAGAGCTTAGGGGAGCGGGAGTTCCCAGCTGGATCAGGAACAGAGTGGGAGAACAAGGAAAGAGGTACCATGGTAAATGAAGACCCCAGGGGAATAGGAAGAAGTAGAGTGCTAGAGAGGTCCCCAGAAATCCACAAAGATGACTCCACTATAGACTAATGGCAATGGTCAAGAGAATGCCTGAGCTGACCTACTCTGGTAATTGGATGGCCGACCACCCTAACTATCATGATAGAACTCTCATCCAGTGACCTTTCCTAGAATTTGACAATTAACCTAAAATTTTTCTTTTCAGAATAAAGATACCTTGGCTCATACCCAGCAGGAAGCAATTTTAAGAATACGATGCCCACATTCCCAAAGAGGTGGTGTGGGGCGGGTGGGTTTTTTTTTTTGGTCTTTTAATGGTTTTTGGGTCTGGGATAATTTTCATTGTTTAGGAGGGTTGGTTACAAGTTGTTGTTAAGGATTAGAAAAAGGGCTAAGCAAAGGAGATTAGATTTAAGGTTATTGTTTAAAAAAAACGAAAAAGACAATTACTAGTTTTAAATACTTTACATTGGATTGGATTGTTTTATATTGTATACAAATTATATATATATATATATTGAAATTGATATTGTTAAAAAATGCTATGTGTATATTTCTAATCTTGTTCAAGATATTGTACTTATACAGTTCATTTAACAATGTAATGCAAATTGCAGATTCTTGAATGTTATTATTGCCAACTATTAGGATATAAAGAAATGAAAGTTAGCAGTTAGACATTACAATAGAACTTGTAGTCATATTAGGTATGTTTTCAAGATTTCCAGATATATTTTAGATAGACAGGTCATCTTCAAACCCTTCAGAGATCTACAGAATGTGGCATTTAAAATGTTTTAATAACTTAGAAAATTTTTCTTTTTGTTATGACTATGAGACATGTCGGCTTCTGGCAGTACCAATCTACTTCAGAGAAAATATGGGCATTGAAGAAACTGCATATGGAGTTAACTTTCATTGTAACAAAAGTTAGCCACTGGACAACAAAGTATCCTCAGATCAATTGCTGAAAAACAGGACAAAATGGACAGACAGGACACGAAACAAAGGACTACTGATTCTTGTCAAAACAAGTGTGGCTGTGGCTTTATCAAAAGGCATCTTCTGGTAGACAGGCCCGGCGGTGGTCGACAGGGACATACAGGCCCGGTGGCGGCCCGCAGAGGTAGACGGGCCCAGCAGCGGCAACCAACAAGGACATAAAGGCCTGGTGGCAGCCCACAGAGACATACAGGCCCGACGGTGGTCCGCAGAGGTAGACGGGCCCGGCAGTGGCAGGCAACAGGGTCATACAGGCCCGGCAACAGCTGGCAGAGACATACAGATCTGGCGGCAGCCCGCAGAAGGAGACGGGCCCAGCAGCGGCAGCCGACAGGGACATACAGGCTCGGCAGCAGCCACAAGCAGAGGCACG